CAAAAATAATAAAATATCAATTCAATAACAATATAAAGTTTTAGGTATTTTTTTATAATTAAAAATTCATAAATTTGCATGGCGTCCTGCTTTGAGTGAAAAAAAAATAATGGTCACGTTACGCATGCACAACAATTGTTGTATTACATGCTTACTGTACAGCCTCTACATCCTCGTACAATACGCATACACTCCTTTAGCTTCAAAGAAACCGGCTAAAAATATAATGTGATAAACTTGCGCTCTGCTCTGTACATTACCCGACCGGTATGATGTTCAATTATTAAGCCGCCCCACGGATTCGGCTCTAAACGCTTCTTATCGAAGTTATATTCTGCTTCTCTTTACTGACTTGGCAAAAGGATAATATTATACGTAGCTATACTTTACAACGGTGCAAGATAAGGTTCTAATTGTGAGATATGGTGAATCTAATTGGAGATTTGAAATAGTACGACTATGGTGATAGATGTGTTACGGTGATAATTATGACAAAACTGCTTGCCTAACTTTCAACATGTCAGCTACATGAAACTAAATTAGTTTTAAAAGTATGCAATTGTGGATTGGGTCCTTCTTACCAACTTATATAACTTAAAAGCATGTCAATCCTTCAAGTTTGCTGAAAAAAATATGTTGTTAGGGATGAACACTTCAACAGCCATCTGTTGTTTAATAGCCAAACTAGTAAACCTTTCGTAGCGTCGTACAAAAAAGTTCGACTACTCTTTACTAGATGTCGCTAGTAGTATGTTTCCAATAATGAAGAAGCTGCATTTGGTTTCTTCCAAAAAAGTTTGGAATAAGTCTCAACAGATGGCGCTAATATGACTATATATAGGTTGACAATTGACATTGAAGTAGTTTGTTTGACATTTCATTTGTTTTGGTTCGGTGTTTCCAAATTGTACCGAGAAATTTTATTTGACTAAGAAATACGACAATATGTAACGATTACAAAGAAGCTTCCGGCAAACGCTTGTTATGGTCAAAAATGGAACAACTTTACGCTGTGGGAATCACTATCATTGAATTCATACAGGATTGGTAAAGTTTTTTTCATTCATGTCAGCTTTTCCGGTGAAAACTGTTATATATATGTTTTGTTAAGTAAATTATGGATGTCTTTCTTACATTTTAAATACTACCATAATTTTCTAACCAACGGAAATCATTTCTACCACGTAGGTACCTGTTACCTAACACCTACTAATATATATGTCATTCATTGAAAAAGTGAGTTATGTCCTTGTAATTAAATTTTGAAATAATGAGTTTTTAGCAAATTAATGTGTTGTAATTTTAGGTCTCTGAGTAAACCAGTAATGCCATCTATGGGATGTTAGTTCAATTATTGGTGTTGCTTCACTTTTATAATGAAAGAGGCGATATGAACTAAATGTGATACTTTTAAGCAAACAAAATACGTGTTTTAAAATATGTATTTACACCACTTTTATAATGATCGACAAATATACAGACCGTGAACACATTATTGTACCACACCACATACCGTTACTACACCAGGTATCATATTTGAGAGGGCACTTCTGACGTATACTGAAACTTCTGAAAATATTGGATTCTCCACAAATTACACACTGTATACAATGGTGTGTTAATTAATACCTTGGTTGCTAAAACGCTCATCTCCTGTATAGAAGGTTTTGGGTTGTGTTACTACGACCACCAAGTCCATTTATACCATATTATTATGCCATTTAATTTACCACCATCACCAGGTCCATTTATACCATATTGCGTTGCATCAAAACTAGATAATTATAACTTATTATCAATGTTAAGGAAAGATCATAACGAAACATGTCGCACCTTTGGAATGAAAGTGACCTAATTGAAAAAATTAAGAAAATAAGTTTAAAACAATTTTAACAATCATTGTTCATTATGGTTTTTAATTTACTATTACTAGACTCTAAAGACTTTCGAATCTTTGACACAGACTTTTGTATTGCTGATATATTTCTCAAATGTTACAATATAATTAATTTTAAAAAATGCAGTACAGGTCATTAAAAAATATATAAAAATTAACCATTCTTAAATTAATACTAAAAATAAAAATAATACACATAAATTTCCAATTGAAAATTAATACTTAATATTTTGAAGATTAATAATTCATTATAAATCTGTGTGCAAAAATTTTCTATAATTAAATTACCTCCACTCTTTATACAACAAGTCTATGTAATATATTTGAAATATGGTCCACACTCTTTCTTCGGTATAGGTAATCCATTGGTACACTCAGTATACTTAATCAAACTTCATATTGCTGTATAAACATTCCAGATTTGGATTTATTTTGTTTATGCAGTAATTTGAGTACTTACTATTATTTTAAGTTGCACTGACTCAACATTTAATATTTTTAAACACTTAAGAAAGCCTTTTTAATAGCATATTTTTAATTTTAGCAATATTGTATTATTAATTACTTTAAAACTCGCTGCTGTGTTGTCATCCAACATTTTAAAACAATTTAAATTTTCAAAATATTTATTACTCATGACATTGTACTAAGACAATATCTGGTAGAACAGATTCGCTATTCTGCCCTCACGCTATACTCAGTTATGAGATTAATTATTCTTTATTACAATCATCAGGTTTTCAGATTCCGAAGGCTATTTCGAAATGGTGAACGACATCTCCAATCCCAATCGAGTGATGGAGTTTCTCTTCCCTATTATGTCTATTGTGGACTCCGTATTTGCTGCGCAATTGTTGCTCTGTATGGCATTTGGAGGATGGTTGAACAGTGTGCTTAAATGGTGAGGATTAAATTGATCATTATTATCAAACTATTTAATTTCATATTTAAGAGCGTAACAGTGAAGGTGTTGAATCAATCGCCTTGAAAAAACTGTATGGTAAAATTGAGGATACAAACTGATTACTATATGATGTGAAAACATGGTTCCTAAAAATTTTCATGATAGAATAAAAATACAAACTTGCTTCGAAATTTTACAAGAAAATCATGGTGTTATTCTGTAGGTACTTTACGTATACCAATGATTGTTTTTATATCAACTGAACTAAATAGAACACTTATAGTACAAAATATACATTTTTCCAATGGCTTAATTTAGTTTTGTAAAAACATAAATTCTGAAATAAAGCCAGTGGCTCTACTTATCGACCTGAGCAAAATGAACCATATTAGTATGGGAAAAATTTGAATTTAAGCTGAGGTATTTACATACATAGACAACTACAAATTACATCCAAAGCCACGAGAGAGATAAATGTAGGCCATACAAATGTTTCTCCCGACCCGGGAATCAAACCCTGGACCTCTGCATGGCAGTTCAGCATGGTAACCGTTCAGCCATGTATGCATTATCAAATTATGACCGGAGCATTAATTATACATTATTATCTCCTTTTGTCAATGGTACAGTTTTAAATACAATGTCAAAGGTTAATATGATTGTTGATAATATAAATAATAATAGTGTCTATAAAACAAAATAATATTACAACAGATTGATACCTCTTAAGCAAATGGTCGCAAAATTTTATAGGAAATTTGATATTCGACCCATTATAATAACATTACAGGATAATATAATATTGTCAAGATAATGTCTCTGTGAAGTCCAGTAAATAAAATTACCAGTGAGTACCAGAACAACAGAAGTCAATATGGTAGTTTTTTTTTAAATTCTAATATAAGTGTGCATTTGACCTCCATCTCACCTGATGGAAAGTGACGATGAGGTCCACGATGGAGCATGCACACCTAGATAATGCCTATTCACTCTCGCCTTGAAAAAGTCCTAGTTATATCGTTCAGGGAACAAGTCTGCAGGCAGGGAATTCCACTCCATAGCCGTTCGCCATATAAATGTGGAAGCGTAACGCTTCGTGCGAATCTTTGGAATATCCACAACATAGGGGTGGAAGCCAAGCCTACGCCTAGTCCCCCTAGTAGATTATGGAAAGGGGAAGGCGGAATTAAATCGTGTAATTCCATCGCACACTCTCCGTGATATATCCCGTAAAATCCCGATAAGCAGGCAATTTTATGGCCGTGTTCAAGGCTCTGCAGCTTCGCCTCTAGTAATTCCGAGCCACCTATAAGGCTCTTGGCGCGCTTGTCAATTGAATCCAAGGTGGCCAGTTGATATGTAGCAGAGCCATCCCAAAGGTGGCAACAGTACTCCATACACGACCGGACTTGTGCTTGATACAGCTGAAGCAACTGTCCCGGTGTGAAGTAACGCCTCACACTGGAAAGGATGCCAAGCTGCCTGGCTGCATTTTTGGCCATGGTTTCAGTGTATCTGCCGAAGTTCAGATTGGACGACAGGTCCATTCCAAGTAGCTGGAGACGGTCGGCTATTGGTATGGATATATCACGAAAAGTCGGAGTCAGCGCAAAGGGACTCCGTTTAGTGACACAGTTCCTAGAAAGCCAGTTTAGACAAGGTTGTTTCCTAACAATTCTATATGAAATCCATATCATTATAATCTATCAGGTGCACCGAGTCACTGTTTGTCTGGTCGTATAAAAAAAAATCTAAATTTATTTCCAGGTGGCTTTTAGAAGATAGACCGTACTGGTGGGTGAGAGAGACAGATTTCTATGACCAATACGACAGACCCTCGCTCAGGCAGACGAGACAGACCTGTGAGACAGGGCCTGGGTGTCCATCAGGCCATAGCGAGACAACAGCTATGTTATTGGTCTTAGTTATGTGCTGGGTGTCACATATTATGAACGACAGGTACTTTAGCTTTTGATTCTCTGCTTAAATTCTTTATATCCTTATGAAGAAAATCGGTGAAATTGTGAAAAGTTGAACATAAATTGCGTATTAATACGGAAATTGTATAAGTACTTTTTGAACACCTTATTAATATTTACTTTCTATATCTCTCCCAGCTTCTGGAGCTTCAGCAGCTTCTTATACATTACTTTGTTATAATAATTTTTTTATACCGGATACCGATCGAACCAACGTCTCCGAGCAAACCGTGGTAGACACTATTGTCAATTAAGCCACGGAACGAACCAACGGATCTCACGAATTCTTCTATGTGCTTGTTGTCGAATCATTGTAAAGGGTTTTGCAACAAGAACTTTGTTTTGTAAATGAAAATAAAAGAACAAATTTAGATGACAATGACAAATTATTATTGTATTAAAAAAGTAAGGTTTGGCAATTATGAATGAATGTCTGATAAATGTCCACCACAGCCACAGTTACAGATTTTTTTTTTATTTATTTATTTTGGTACAGTCATTACAATATGAATTAATACGAAATTTGAACTATACTATAGACAACGAGTACTGAATATTACACTTAAATATTAATAACAAGTACTAAAAGGGCTTAAATATATAAGTAGAATACAAAATAAACGCGTTTTTAAACCAACAGCGAATGGTTAACCATATGAGTGCTTAGACAAATTATTACTTAGAACTAGAGAAAATTAAAACAAATTTATTTAACCGGGATGTAAACCGGCTTCAGGTTTCATAGACAGTAAATAATTTGTTGTGGATGCTTACCTTAAATCTGTTCAATGAGATACCAAATATATCCGTGTCACAAAATGTATTGTATAAAGATAACGAACGATGAAAATAACTGTTTCTCGTATAATTCTTACGGAGTTGTGGTGGTACGAAAATGTTTATTTTACGTTGGGGGCGTACTGGGGATAACAGAGTCGGTGAATCAACCATGTTGTTAAGTATTTTGTAGAGAAAAACTATATCAGATTTCTTACGGCGATTTTGTAAAGTAAGTAATTTATTACGCCTAAGAGAGTATTCGTATGGTTCAATTGGACAATTAGTACGAAAATTAAGAATCCTGCTGAATTTCCGTTGGACTCTTTCTATTCGATCGATATTACATTTGTAGAATGGATTCCAAACCAAGCTTCCAAAATCGAGAATGGATCTAACGAATGAATAATATAAAATTTTAAATGTTATGACTGGCTTAAATGGTTTGGTAATGCGATTAATAAAGCCCAGGCTTCTAAAGGCTCGACTGAGTATTGTATCAATGTGCGAGTTGAAAGATACTTGATCACCCATGACAATACCTAAATCTCGAATGCTCAAGGGTATAAGTATAATATATTGGCCATTTCTTGCGGGTATAAGTGATGATGTTACATTTAAGAAAAGTTGGTTTATGGTACAATACTCTGAAAGAGTTGCGATGTCCGACTGTAGCAACTCACAATCGCTAGGAGAGACTACTATTCTATAAAATTTGGTGTCATCTGCGTAAAGCAGATGATTTGAGTGGTACAAAGAGTCTTCTAAATCGTTGATATATAAGGAAAACAATAGCGGACCTAAATGGGAACCCTGCGGGACACCCGAAGGAATCGGCAGGACTTTAGAACAGTAACCTCTCAAACAAACCGCCTGACTTCGGTTGCCTATGTATGACTCGACCCATCTACGCAAACTGTCATGTACACCGATCTTGTTAAGCTTTTTTATGAGCAAATCGTGATTAATTTTGTCACATGCTTTGGAAAAGTCGGTGTACACGACGTCTACCTGTAAGTTATTATTCATAGCGCACAATAAATAATTAGTGAATTGAATCATGTTTGATTCGACACAACGTGACGTCGTAAACCCGTGCTGCTGTTCCGAGATAAAATTTTGAACAGAATGGAACAATTGTGCAGTTACAATCTTTTCGAAAATCTTGCCAAGAATGCACAGTTTAGAAATAGCTCGGTACTGGGTGATTTGATCTTTTTGATTCTTTCATCAAAGTTTTTAATCACTTTTTGACAAAATGGTGGGTCTATTTTGTTAATCACTTGACGAATTTTGAGTTTTATAGACTCTGTCTTTAACATAACTCCATAAAAAATAATCCAGCGGTGTTAAATCACATGATCGAGCTGGCCACTTAACGGTTGAATTTCGTGAAATTATGCGATCGGGAAATTTGGTTTGCAATAAATTCATTGTTTCGGTGGCTGTAAAACTTGTGCCGTTGGCATTGGGCCGTTTTTTTTTCGAAAATTCGGCTGGAAATGCGGTTACGGTCAATCGATTGCGCTATGGAGAGATGTTGACAACTCAATTTAGGCTTATTATTGATGATAAAGATATCGCTAACATGTGGTTTCATTAACAAGACGGTGCCACAAGTCACACAGCCACCAAAACAATGAATTTATTGCAAACCAAATTTCCCGATCGCGCAATTTCTCGAAATTCAGCCGTTAAGTGGCTAGCTTAATCATGTGATTTAACACCGCTGGATTATTTTTTATGGGGTTATGTTAAAAATAGAGTCTATACGGAGCCAACCAAATCGATTGCAGCCTTAAACTCAAAATTCGTGAAGTGATTAACGAAATAGACCCACCATTTTGGCAAAAAGTGATTAAAGACTTTGATGAAAGAATAGACGTCTGTAAATGTTTGTGGTCGTGGTGGACATTCATCAGATATCATTTTTCATTCATAATTGCCAAACCTTACTTTTTTTAATACAATAAGAATTTGAATCATTGTCATCTAAACTTATTGTTTTATTTTGATTTTCAAAACAAAGTTTTGTTGAAAAATCCTATATTTGGTTTTAACGACATTTTAGCCGTAGCGCCATCTATGAGAAATCTATGAAACTATCTCGTCACCCAACCGTTAAAGATTTTTTGTTAAGTGTTCGATCTTTGTATTAATATAATAATTATAACAAACCAGTCATTGACCTACCAACAAATGGACGTCGGGTCTAATACAAAAACCACGAAAAAAATGTCCGAAGTTAATCTATACAAACGTAGTGACATGTAACGAAATATAAAAAACTAAAACATTTAATTTAAATTGTAACGTCATTGCAGTACTGCCTAATTTTGCTTGCAACAATTTAAGGGCCCAAAAACACCATATTCAGCTTCTAACAAAATGAACCATATTTAGCTTCGACTGAAAATTACTTGAACACAAGAGTAATGGAGTAGCCTTTATCGTAAATATTAATTAATTTTTATGTATATTATTATGTCGAATTTTGTACAAATTCACTTAAAGAAATAACAAAGAGTTGGGCAGATGCCCAACTCAACAAACATACTTAAACATCAACATACATACAAATATTACTACAAATGTGAAAATAAGCGTGTACTATAAGAAATGTACCGATATTCCAACTAAACGTAAACTCAAATATCCGTAATTCCGAAAACCGATTTATAATAAAACCGTTACGCTTTCGTGTAATTTTAATGCTTTTCACAAATACAAAATTAGTTTTTATTTTGTAACCTTCCTAAAAAATACATTTCACATTATGAAAATTCGAGCTAACGTTATTTCGGGCAAATGTATTTTCTGACTTCTAATAGGTAAACCCAAGCCGTAAAACGAGTACAACAATATTTAGTTAGTTATTGCTAACGTTTAATTAAAAAACATTTAAAAAATAAGATTAAAATCAAAGCAACGCTATAGTTTCTTTGTTCTAAATATTACAATCGCTTGTGGTTCGAACAATTGAAAATGACCAAGAAGTTTATATATAAGCTTCTTAAAATTGACACAATGGGTCTCTTTCCATCTTTTGCGCATGCAATGTGTAGAAAAAGGACAGTTAGCTATTTGATTATTTTGTGTGCTTTTGTAATTTATATTTACGATTCATTTATGTATAAATTAAATACTATAAAACTGTACAAAATAAATTTTTAAATGAGAACTTTGATAACATAATATATTTGTTTAATGAAAATTTTATACAAAACCCTGTTTTTACACTTTACTGCAGTAATTTTTACATGTTATTATTATATGGTACTGCATGATTGACAACCGCGCTGACAGTCGAACAAACGAAGACTGTTGCGCGATTGACGCTCTGTATGTGATTTTAACGCCCTATAGATGCGGACACTTTTAAGCGCGGACCCGATGTCCACTTATTGGTAGGTCAATGAAACCAGTGGAGTAATTTCACAAAATAATTGAATATCATGGTGGTTAAACATTCTAACATTCAATAAAAATATATTTACACTATTTTGTTATTAGAAATTACTACGTGAGTTGGTGGAAGTTCCTAATGTACCCCACGTGCGGTATGGTGTTGGTCTCAGTGATGCTGGCCCGCTTGTTTGTGGGAACGCATTTCCCGCATCAAGTAGTTCTGGGCGCGTTAGTTGGTGAGGAAGTTTACGTTGTTATTATTATTATAAATAGAGGTGGTCATTATTTATAATAGCGGATAATGTAATACATTATTCTTACGCAATATCAAACAACTGTCTAAACTGCTGATGTTATACGGTTATTCTGCCGATGCGACAGCGACTGCGTCGTCACACGAACTACCAAGTATGCAATAGCAATAGCTGTTAGAGAGAAAAGGCGCTTCTCAAATGATTTGTGATGCTACGATTTGGCAATCTTTCCATTATAATCTTTATGTGCACAACATAGAGTTCTCTTTCTCGTTTCATATTTTATTGTTATCTTTTTACTGGTATGGTTATTACGATTTTGTGCTTTATGTAACTGGGATAATGTCAATTTTAATATTTGATATCGACAAGCAGTTAATCAATTTACATGATGCCGAGAACAGCCATTTTATTTTGGTTTATTGTTTGTGTCAACAACAACAACAGCAGCATTATAACAGTAGCAGATTTGTTTTCATTGCGTTAACGCCATTACCAGCGATTGAGTCATAAATAACAGATTATACAAAGCATTATTTATTCGCTATCATTGTACGGACAACGGCGCATCAGACTACACATTTTTGTTCGAAAATCGCCTCCAGTGCAACGGAACAAGATACGTCAATGTGTAGCTTGATGTGCTGGCGTGTGTACTTGTATGCAAAACAGCAGAATAACAGGTTATCTGGCAACAGTTTACAATAACAGTTATTGAAAAATAACACATCAGTACAATTCATTATTGACAAATAGCCGTTATTGTTATGTCTAATAGATATCGTTTTGTGTGTATTTACAACTCAGTATGTATTTTAACACCTTCAGGGGCTTTCCTAGCGCCGGCTCTCTGCATCTACGTCTCGGACCCGTTCATCTGGCAATACGGCGCTTATAAAACGCGCAGCGTATCAAATGCCGTAAAGTGGCACGTTTTGTCAGCTATCTGCACAATCGTAATCAGTGTTGCCACGTATTATGGACTCAAGGTCTGCAGGTGGGACCCCATGTGGACAGTGAAGTTGGTGAGATTATTTTTTCTTCCTTATAGGCTATAATCTAACATTTAGTAGAAGTAGAGCTCCTTGCGAAAGAGTTGGTCCAGAGAACTACTACTTCTATTTCGCTGTCGCCAAAACTCACACATTCATAATTTGAAATACTATGAAATCTGATGGCCTGGCCTGTTAATACGTATAATTTAAATTTTACCCTGTTGGCATATGAAATTTCAAGCAATGTGCTGCCATCTAGTGGTCAATAGCTGAACGACGACGAATTCGAGATGTCTACTTGAGTTCTCCAAAAAAGAAGCGATCATATTGCAGCGTTTCGTTTCTTGTAACAAAAAGTTTTTTTTTTATTCAAATGTAAGTGTGCATTTGACCTCCATCTCACCTGATGGAAAGTGACAATAAGGTCGACGATGGAGTATGCACGCCTAAATATTGCCTATTCACTCTTGCCTTGAAAAGGTCCAAGTTATAACGTTCAGGGAACAAGTCTGCAGGCGGGGAATTCCACTCCGTTCGCCATATAAATGTGGAAGCGTAATGCTTCGTGCGAATCTGTGGAATATCCACGACATAGGGGTGGAAACCAAGCCTACGCATAGTCCCCCGATAATGGAAAGGGGAAGGCGGAATTAAATTGTGTAACTCCGTCTCACACTCTCCGTGATATTATCCTGTGAAGTACCGATAAACAAGCAACTTTACGGCGGTGTACAAGGCTCTGTAGCTTTACCTCTATTAATTCCGAGTCACCTATAAGCCTCTTGCCACGCTTGTCTGTTGAATCCAAGGTGGCCAGTTGCTGTGTAGCAGAGCCATCCCAAAGGTGGCAGCAGTACTCCATACACGACCGGACTTGTCCTTGGTACACCTCGCCCTGGAAAGGATGCCAAGTTTTCTGGCTGCATTTATGGCCATGGATTCAGTGTATCTGCCGAAATTCAGATTGGACGACAGACCTGTCGTTTTACCACCATTATTATTTAGTACCATTCCAAGTAGCTGGAGACGGTCGGCTATCGGTATGGATATATCATGAAAAGTCGGAGTCAGCTCAAAGGGACTCCGTTTTGTGGAGAATAGACACGCTTGCGTTTTGGTAGCATTTAATTTGACAAGATTGGCATCGCCCCAATCGGAAACTGTCAAATCCAAACGGCTATCCATAGACTCTCGACAATACTGGATTTCCTCTCCACTGACTCCGCTGTCATCAGCATACGCATAAATACTGGAATTAACATATCATTGATATATAGCAGAAAGAGTGTTGCGGACAGTACGGAGCCTTGAGGAAATCTATCGCCCGATGTTCGGAACAGTAGCCTTCTAAGACGACTCGAATGGAACGTTCACTCAAGAAATCCGAGACCGCAATAGATAATATTACAAATGCGATGTAAGGCATTTTTCTACGGTTTTCGAAGTTTTGCGCGAGATAATTGACTCGACCAAAACGTACAAAGGGAAAATGGCGGACTGAGATCATATGTGGAACTTCGCGTACTGTTGGCGCACGTGCCACACAAACTAAACACTTCCACTGAATTTACTGTTCTGTGACCTTACCCCTCCGGGTTCCATAGCTATTGGACACGACTCATTTTCGCCTAGTGGCGTTTTGTAGTTTAATTTTTCCACTGATGATATAGAAAAAAACATTGTTATGTCCAGGCGTTTCGCTGGTGTGAGGCTCCAGAACACATCCACGTGTCTACAACACCGATGTACAACCTGGTGCAAGCCACTGGATATTTACTGGGCTGGGCGCTTTGGGTCACTCCGAAACTTGCTGAGTAAGATCAATATTACGCTTATATGCCTCTGCCTTTCCCACAATGATACCATAGTATAAGACCATCGAGTATATAACCAGAAATAGAGACGAAGTGTCATTTGATTTGTTTGAAAACTATTCTGCCAAATCATTTCGGTGACAACTGCGCTCCTGTTGGCCGGGCCGAATTCGAAACGACGACGATACTCGTCAATTGTTTCACTTCAAAACGACCAGTTTAACTTGAGCTTTGCTATAATGGACGAAAATTGAAAAATTGCAAGTTTAATATTTTATTACCGATGAAATGTGATTCCGTTTGTTTTGTAATTAGTTGCAGTTTTTCCCACACCACCTGAATGGAATAACCCCCCATAGTTAGATACATTATCTTTATTACAATAAATACAGAATATATTTGGAATGTACGGAGACGTACACACAGGTCAGTTGTTGGCGCTGTACTATTTCAGCTTTCTAATCTGTGATTTCAGCGCAAACGAGAAGTCGATATTTAAAAGTGATAAAAGGCCCATTTGCCTGATGAGTTGCCAGGGATGAATGGCCTTTATTTCATCTCTATTTCTGGTCATATGCTCGATGTATAACACAAATAGTGTAACTCTATTATAAACGTAATGACGCGGTTTGTATGTGTTCACAGCCGCCGCGCGCCGTGTACGGACAAACACATTCAAACTCGAAGTCAAATAAATGTTTAACAAAATAATCTTAATGCTCATTATATGTATTGTCTTCATATGGTATATAAGGTCTTAAATCTAAAACAATGTTACACATATTATTTATTTATTTTTTATTTTTTTATTTTAAACACTAAGAATATTACAAAAATATATATACATCACACCCTTAAACCTACATTGGTTTGTCCGGGTGCAGCACGTTATGAGCCTGTGTTAGGCATAACAATCACTATTTAAATACATACGTATAGTAAGAAGCAAGTCACTGCGAAAATTTCAATTTCATTAAATTACAATAACATAACAAAATCATACAACTAATTCAAGTATTAATTTAGTTGATTGTACAACAAGTGCATAAAACGCGTCATTTTACCCGAGTTGAGTATATCCTATATATATAGGTAAAGTCGAGGGTAAAATGGGTTTTATGAACGAGTAATAGACTCTGCTTTTCACTTCGATTGCGAGGAAATTAAACAGCAATATTACTAATAAACGATTATTTAAATAAAATTGAATGTAAAATTACAATAATTAGAATCCTGTTTTATGCAGCCTACACCCAGCATAAATACGAACTTTAAGAGCATGAGAAGTGAAAAATTTATTATGATATTATTATTATATTTTACCATTAAAGTATTCACTTAAATTATGGTAACATTTATAAATATTAATCTTCAACCTACAACTGCCTCTATGGCCGAACGGTTACCGTGCAGGTCTTCGACGCAGAGGCCTCGATTCCCGGCCGAGAGAAATATATGTGTGGCCTACATAATAATATTTCTCTCGTGAGTTTAGGGGTAATTTGTGGTTGTCTATGTGTGTGTCCATGGCACCCACGATACAGGGTTTCCTTTTTTATTATTAAAACTAACGCGGTTATCATTAGTGACGCGGTCGCGAACGTTGCACTCAACCCCTGAAGAAGACCATCGATTATGGTCGAAACTAGTCGGACCGCTTCCGACTAAAATACTACGCGAGTAAGTCCCGTTACTTTCATATTATAAGGGTACACTTCTCACTTAGTTACGACAAAAGCGGCTACGACAGAAACAGTTACGACAAATAAACTTATGACAGAAACAGTTACGACAAAAACATTTACGACAAAAACAGTTACGACAAAAATATTTACGACGAAAACAGTTACGACAAAAACAGTTACGACAAAAACTGTTACGACTATGAGTAACTATCATGACAAGCAACGACGATTATGTAATCTATACGGCGAACAGTAGCTTAGTTATGATGTTTATTTTTATTTTTCAGATATCGCCACTACACTGCAAACCGTTCCCTCCTTATAGCATCGTTTGCTGTCTGCTTATTAACCTATATATTAAACCAAATTTCTAATAATATATGCAAAGGTAATGCACTGTGGTACTACGCTATGCATTTCGTACTGTACGTTGTGAAACCGGGCTTATATTTACGACTTGTTCCCGAACTCGCTATGTGGCCTTACCCCAAGGTTCAGTTACTTAAAAATAAAAGTGAATGAAAATCATACAGGTAGTAGTTAGTTAAATATTTCTCGGTTATCTTATTCCGCCGCTGCTGGGTATTAATAACATGTGATCCGGATAGATGTTCCAAATGAATAGATTAATATTTACATCTACCGCCCTTAGTTGAAATGGCGCTTGTGACAAACTCAAAACTGAAAAATAGTTATTTGTTCTGCAAGGCTGCAAAGTTGTTTGACTTGAGTTCTTGTATAGGTTTCAATGAACAAGTGAAAGAGACGCATAACAACTTTGCTGTCGAGAAACATATCTTTTCACCTCACTATAGCGAGGAAAATGGTAGATGAAAGAAAAACAGTTGTCAATTTAATGTCAACAATAAAAAGACTGTGGTGCACCTAACTTTTTCTTTCGATAAAAACAAAATATAATGATACGTTCAACTACGCGATTTGTTGTACATTACTTATTTATGTATAATGTAAATCCGTTGGTATATTTTATTTTTATTATTGTTGACATTAAATTTACAATGATGACAAGCATTGATTTACAATTATATGGACGTCGGGTCCGCGCTAAAAAGTGTCCGAACTTATAGGGCGTTAAAATCGTATACAGAGCGTCATTCACGCTTTAGTCTTCGTTTGTTCGACTGACAGCGAAGCAAGCAAAATTAGACAGTACTTTGATGACATTACAATTTAAATTCAACGTTTTAGCTTTTTCATATTCATTTACATGTCACGTTTAAATAGGTTGACTTGGGACATTTTTTTCGTGGTTTTTGTATTAGACCCGTCGTCCATTTATTTGTAAGTCAATGATAACAAAATAAACTTTTTCTTTTCATTAAAAATTAAATTATATATATAATTTGCGTCTCGTACCTTGAAACCCTTGCAACGCTCAGGAATCTATATATGAACCTTAGTTTAATAAATCTTAGCTTCTTTCGCTTGCTCAGGGTTCAATATAAGCACTCGCGGAAAACAACAACTTTGCAGCCTTGCATAACAAATAACCATTAAAGAAATGAAATTAAAACAATATCTACTTTTTTCTTGCGGTAACTTTTCTAAGAAAAAATAAAAATAGTAACAGATCGCACTTTTTTACTGCTTGCGACGGTATACATAATTTTTTTTAATGACATAGGTGCAAGAAGTGACAGAGTGGTTAAATTTTATTTTTTTAAGTTGCATTCCATTTAACTATTTCGCTAGTTCCTACTCTTTAAAAGATAATTTTTTTATGGTACCAAATGACGGAACGAACTAGTCGTGCGCCTGATGGCAAGCGACATGCCTATCTACAGCAATTGCAGGGCCACAGGAGCTTTAAACTGCAAAGATCTAAAAAGGCACTGTCATTGCGCCCGTCACCCTGAGACATATATTAACAAGTCCCATGTGCCTGCAGTAATGCTGCTTGGCAGCAGAAATAAGTAAGGTAAGCAGTACTTCTTACTGCTGCTAATGTGTTTTGGTAAAAGAGTTATCTACTGGATTTTTTTACATGGCGCCACTAGAATTTTTCCAGCTTCAGCTTCCTAGGTAATTAGTTTTATTCGACATGCAGAAATATCGTTTCCGGAAATCAGAAATTCAAAAGAATAATTAATTTACATTTGGTAGTAATAGGGGTTAAAGTATGAAATTGCCGATTTGTACTGAAAATCTAAATTGTTTATTTTTTAAATTTTTAACAAATTTATTTAATCAAAATAGTTGCCATTATTATCTATACATTGCTGCCATCTAATGGGAAGGTTATTAATGCCTTTGCGATAGAACTCCGACGATCTAGACTGCACAAACTGTGTGAAAGCATTTTGTACTGCCTCCTGGGAAGAAAACTTCTTGTCACGTAGATAATTGTCCAAATCACGAAAAAAATGGTAGTCCGTTGGAGCAAGGTCTGGTGAATACGGAGGATGACGAATGGTTTCTAACTGCAGTTCCTGAAGGGTCAAAATGGTTTCTCGTGCTGTGTGAGGTCTCGCGTTGTCGTGGAGCAATAATGGTGAAGATCGATTCATGAGTTGTTTTACTGCTAGTTTTGTCAACATGGTTCGGAGTTCGGCACAATAGACATCTGCCGTTATTGCTTGACCAGATCGGAGAAAACTATAGTGAATAACACCATGCTGAGACCACCAAACAGTTACCATTACCTTTTTATTGGTAAGTTTTGCTTTAGGACACTGTTGTGGCATTTGACCTGGGGTCAGCCATTGCATTTTTCTTTTCCGGTTATCATAAAGAATCCACTTTTCATCACATGTTACAATTCGATCCAATATTCCTTCATTTCTGTACCGGTTCAACAAGGCAACACAAGTTTCAACACGCGTTTCTTTCTGCAGATCAGTCAAATCGTGAGGCACCCATTTTTCGTATTTTTTTATTTTATTGATTTGACGCAAGTGAGTCAATATTGTTGGTAAGGTAACGTTAAACCATGCCGCTAATTCCTGGGTAGTTTGACTAGGATCGGCTTCCACTATCTCTCTTAATTCATCGTTATTCACCTGTGTGGGCGGTCTTCCTCGTGGCTCGTTCTTTAAGTCGAAATTTCCATCACGAAAGCGTTTAAACCAAAATCGCACGGTGCGTTCATTAGTAGACCCCTCTCCAAACGCAGCATTGATATTGCGGGCTGTTTCTGCCGCGTTAGTTCCGCGTCGGAACTCGTATTCAAAAATCACTCGAATTTTCGCAGTATCCATCTTTCTTGTCTAAATTGAATAACAAAAACAATTGAAAGTCGATATTCAAATGTTTCAAATTTAAAAAAAAAAAATCACAGAAACCATTTGAAAAAAGTTTCATTCGAAAACCTCAAACCATGAAGATTCTATGAAAATTCAAAGAACCTATTGCAATAAAACGGCAATTTCATACTTTAACCCCTAATATTAACCGCTCTATGTCACTTCTTGTATCTACCTGTAGATACTTATCTACACATTGGAACAATGAAAGTATCATTATATTCCGACCACTAATAATAATACGATAGCGTTTCCTAATTCTCATAAACTGTAGCAAAATCTTTTCCGAACTGGCCTTTTTAAAGAATTTCCATACTTTGACACTTCTTTGACTAAAGATTTTTCTATTTATATCAATAGATGGCGCTTTAACCAATTTAAACCAAAAATTTAATACGGCTGTTATGTTTTTACTCTAAAATGTTTAATGCTCTCCAAGGTTAACCAGATAAGACGAAAGACGGTTGTTACAGCAACTATTCTACCGATTAATTCATAGAAACCGTGGTTTAAATATCATAAGTCCGTCATACTTTATGCAGTTAATAGTAGGCGGCGTCAAGACCGCAATACTAATCTAAAAATATAACTCTATCAATGTCTTCTCTTACTTGGTTAGCTGGCTGGATGTTACTCTACGACCGCGTAAGTCTGACCACGTCCGCGACGCTACAGGGACGCGGGGGGTGATGACAAAGGGAATCGCGCAGGGACAGGGCGACAGATGCAAATTTTTAATTAGCTCAATTCGTGTCACACTGTGTGACATATACACAGGATTACATATCTAAAATGAGACGATTTATCTTCGGACACACCCCGGACACTCCATACAACAGTCGCAAATTATTTACCTACTACTACTACATACAGCAAGGCGCTTACTGCACACGCGCAAATGTGTGCGTGAAATGGCAGGGTTACATCACTTGCTCGTATAATATAATATTATAGAATCCTAATAATTATACATGTTCATTACGTATTTATATCGATATAATATAATATTTTTCATTAATTCACTAACTAGAATAATATTGAAGATTTATTTTAAAAATATATTAAAAGCACTTTGGACAGGTACCTTTAAAAAAAGTAACCAAAGTATTTGAAATTGCGTGTCCAACTTTATCATTACCTAGTTAATAATTAGGTATATTCACTACGTAATATTGATCGGCAATAAAAATTGAAAATTCGAGAACCCTTGTCTAGCTCACGAAGTTATGACGTCTTATTATATTGATACAATAAATCTGTATTATATACTACTCTGCACTAAAGAAAACAATAACTGAAGAGTCTCGGACATAAGTTTATTTACTTACTACGTTTCATCTTTCAAAAAACGAAAGAAAATCCTCTCTTTATCCCGTTTTGATGATTATAAACAGCCGTACACAGCACAATTCACGACCATTATTAATAGTAACTTAAAATGATGTTATATATTAACGTACAAATTTCGTAATGAAAAAATGAAAACTATTCAAATATCAAAGCCGTCTTAGAGCGAAAACAGCTCGCCGACAGACTTGTTCTCGTTCAGTCAATGTGATCGTCAATGTGCGGGGCGTGGTGCTGTATCTAAAGCTAGGGAGGGGCGGAGAGTGTCCGTTCTCATTACTTATTTGTTCTCTGCTTCGGACACAATTTTGGTAGTTAGGCCAAGCAAATGGCATTTAATGTATACGAATATTTTCCTTTTTTATTTCTCTTTGTTTAAAAAACATTTCTTTTTTATTACAATACTTGTACCTTTTTTTGTTATCATGTTATTTAATACAGTATAATTTGATCATTTGATCTATTTTCACAAAGATCTGCAACAAGTACAGAAAACTTCGTAAGGTCCGCTAGATCGTGATCGCTAGATCCGCTAGATGTGGCTTAGTTGGCATATTTTCACGATTTCTAAGATCTTGAGCTGGATCGAAGGAATTTTTTCTAAATATTCCATCTTTGTGTAACTAGTGGTAATTTCTCAAAAATACTTGAATATTATGGTGTTCAAATATATGACATTCAATAACTTAAAAATTTAATATTTTCATTTACAATACTCATTAGCGTTAACCATGACATAATTATAACGTAACGTATCGTTAGAACTATCCGCAAGTATACTCACCTCGTGTGCATCGTACTGCAACGTAAGCCCTCCCTCGCGTCCCTGAGCGTCGCGGGCGTGGTCTGACTTATTGCTGTCGACATTCCTATAGAATGTTTATTTATTTATTATAGTACTTATTGCTGTGAGCGTGGAAGATACCCTTATGTCTGAAAAACTAATTATAGTCCGTATTTTTGAAGACGGAGTAAAATGACATTTGTAGGTTTGCCAGTTTTCATAAAATTTTAAATAGTTATGTAGTTGTTGTCGATAGTTTTTTCGATAGATTGTGAAAGAAGCTAAAATTTTCCCAAAAATTATTGAATTGTGAATGGTACGACATTCTAATGATTACTAATTGCGTTATTGCCTTCTTTGTTCTTATTTTGACAGTTGGCCTACTAGTATCGAGATCAATTTCTATTCATATTATACACTTTAATAAGAATAGCCGGATTTGATTATCTATATTGAATTTAAATGAAATACTATAAAATATGTCTGCTC